CTCCTCGCCGCCATGCAGCAGGCCGTGGCACCCCGCCGCAGTGTTGCAACACCCCCCCAGCCCGCAGGCCCCCACCCACCTCCTGCACCAGGTACATGGTACGCCACTGGGCCTCTGGGATGGAGGCGTCTGCGCAGCCGATGCCGATGTACTGGATGATGGAGGGGTGGCGCAGCGCCAGCAGCAGGCGCGCCTCGGCCACGAAGCTGAACACGTCGTCCTCGCACTCGAGCACGTTGGGCTTGAGGCGCTTGACGGCCACGCAGGCGCCCGCCGCCACGGGGGCGCCAGCCTCGGGCGGCGTCACCAGCTTGGCCACCTCGACCTCTGCGGGCGCATGGGGCAGAGGGGGCCGGGGTGGGCGGGAGCGGGGGTTGAGAGCCACAGAGCTCAGCGTGGGGCATGAGTTGCAGGGCGGGCAGCTGGGCTCGGGAGTGACACACAGCTGGGGTCACATGTGCAGTGCGGGGACAGGTGCAGGGGGCGCCCCGGGGCAGCGCGCACCTGCAAAGGCGCCCTCCCCCAGCGCCTTGACCTTCTTCAGGCTGTCCTGGGGTATGTAGCTGGTGCCGCACAGGTCTGCCAGGCTGGTCAAGCCCAGCGCGGAGGCCACCTTGTCGCTTACCGCCGTCGACGTGCGCCACAGCTGCGACGGCGCCTTCTTGCTGCCGGCGGCGCTGGGGGCACTGGACTGTCGGGACAGCTGCGTCTGCAGCGCCCTCTGCGGGTCCGGAGTGGACAAGGAGCGGAGCACAGGGAGCGGTGGGCGGCCGTGCAAGCGGTCGCCCATGCTTGCAGCACGTGATGGCGGGCAAGGCAGGTCCGACTCTTCGCTGGGGGGCGTGGATGGGCCAAACTCGCTCGAGGATTGCGCGAAGGGACTGAAGGGGCTGCTAAAGGGGCTGGGCGCCCTGGGGACGGGTGCGTCGTTCATGTTGACAGGCGCAGGAGCACAATGGTGCTTGTGTGGGCTTAAAGTCTGGTAAAGCAAGAACTAGCTTGCAACATAGACTCCCCGCCGAAACGGGACGGGAACCGGGCGAAAGCAGAGAAAGCAATAAAACAGGGGTGGAGCAAGGCGACATGCAACGCAAGCAGCTGACAGGGCACGCATCGAAACGTGTGTATGACTGGCAAAGTGGCATGGCGCATTGGGGAGAAACGCAACGGTACGGGAGCATGGGCTGGCCAAACGGCAGTGCGGAACGCTAGGTCACTAGAAAAGCAGGGAAAGGCGCACTATGTATGCAATGAGGGCAGCCCCGGCTCGGGGCCGTTGAGAAAGCAGTGGGCGGGAGGGGGGAGGCCCCGGTGTGGGCGGGCCCCATCGAGGGGGGATGGGGCGCGCAAGCGGCCAGATGGGGCGGGGCGCGGGCGGCAGTGGAGTCCTGCGGCTGGGTGGGATATAGGGCAATGAGCGTTGAGCAGTGTGCGATGAGCAATGAGCAATGAGCAGTGAGCAGCCCCTCCCTAAACAAAGTGAAGCGCAGGACGGGGTCCGGTGGATGGGAGGCAAGGAAACGCGGGGGGTTGCCACGTGCGCTACCGCCGCCGCCGCAGGCAGCACCCCTGCGGCGGCGGCAGCGGCAGCAAGCCGTGGACCCAAACGCCGTGCCGCCGCCGCCGCAGGCAGCACCCCTGCGACGGCGGCGGCAGCAAGCCGTGGACCGAAACTCCGTGCCGCCGAGTCCCGTGGCTGTGGCCGTGGGCTTCTGGCAGGAAACTACGGCCGCAGCTCGGCAGCACGGGGGCGTCGCAGCGTGCCGCCGCCGCCGCCGCGCTGCCCCCCCGGGCACGGCGGCGGCGGCAGCAAGCTTGGGCCCAAACGCCGTGCCGCCGAGTCCCGTGGCTGCGACCGTAGACCGTGGGCCGGAAACTGCGGCCGCAGCTCGGCGGCACGTGGTTCTGGTCAAATCGCCAAGCGTGCAGCAGCGCCGAACCACGCTTCCCGGCCTCGGCGCATGCCTTCAGGGGCCCCCTATCGCTGGGCACACCCCTCCAACACCGAACATGCGCCCGGGGGGGAGGGCGGCCCGGGCTGCCCAGGCCAAAGTGGGCCGCCCTCGAGCAAGAGGCGGCCGGGCTGTGTGCTGAATGAATGAATGAATGCAACAATGGTGCAGTCTCTGCCTCCTATGCGTGCCCACAACTGAGCGGGTGGGGGATGAAGAGCAGCAGTGGAAGATAAATGCAGGAAATGTGGGGGATGCGGCTGAAGAGGTCCTCAATTCATGCGCCACATGTTCGTATTTTTCCCCAAAGGAAAGACCGGGGTGGGGGGACGTGGCCACATGTTGGGGGACACCCACGCGGGGACGTGCCCCGCGTCCCCCCACCCGTATTTCTTGCATCAGTTTTTCTTGGGGCACCGGGGCACCCGGCAGCGCGCCCCCAGGGGCCTTCCTGGCACACTTACACACCACAACTGCCCGTCTGTTGCCCTGCGCGGCCTCCCGCGGCGCCAGACCTGGGCCTAGCATCAGCAAGGGAGCACCGCGGCGCCCTGGGCGCGCCCCACACGGCCAGGTGCACTGCCGGCTGTCAACAACGGCTGCCCCTGGCCGGCTGCGCCCATGCAGCCTGTTGCCCATGCAGCCTGTTGCCTGTGCTCCTGGCGCCACCCCACGCTCCCCGCTCCCTCTCCCCCCTTGCCTCCCGCCTGCAGCCATGGGCTTAGAGGCGTTTCCGCGGCCCCAGCGCGCCCGCACCCAGCCCAGAAAGATGGTCGAGGCAGCGGACGACTCGGAGATCGATGCCGCAACACACTGGATCCACCAGTCCACTAGCCTGCAGCAGTCGGCGCTGCCGCCCGGTGCCCGCCCGCCGCTCGGCAGCCGCCCTCCGCCCCTCCCCCGCCCCAAGGCGCGGCGCAGCAAGGCCACCCGCGGGCCCAGCAGCTGCAGAAGCAGCCCCTGCAGCAGCCCCAGCCAGCAGCAGGACGACAGCGACTATGAGGACGCCGTCAGCGATGCAGACGCGGAATGGGCAGCGGCTGCGGCAGCGCTGGGCAGGGCACCGCCAGAGGCAGGCGCCGACAGCGGCAGCCACCAGGCTGATTCGCCCGATGCCCCAGCGTACAAGCGCCGGCGGGGCAGCAGCGGCAAGGCCGTCAAGCTGCGCAACCCCGAGTGCGTGCTTGCTTGCCTCCCTGCCGGCCGGACCTGCCGGATCTGCCTGCAGGCATTCACTTCCTCGCCTGCTGGCTGCCCCCGTTGCTGCAGGTACACCGAGGAGGAGCGCGCAGAGCTGGCCCGCAAGTCCCGCAAGCACCTGCAGGACAAAACGCTGAAGTCGTATGACAGCCACCTGCGCAAGCTGGAGGTGACCTTGCTTGCCACAGGCAGCTCGGCGCCGCCAGCGCACCAGCCAACCAACCCAGCTATGCCCCGCCCCGCCAGGTAGCACCAGCCTGCTGGCCTGCCTGGGCCCGCCCCCCGACCCCCCTTCCCCCTGTGCACATGTAGGCCTTCTGCAACATTCAAGGCTTCACCCTGGCAGCAGCGCAGGACGCGATGCAGGTGGTCACGATCATGGCAAAGTTCATGGCAGAGTGTAATATCAATGAATCCATCGCAACAAGAAGACCGCCAGCTCGCCCCCGTCGCACTCAGCAGGCCCAGAAAATGCATGGGCTGGCCTGGGCAGCAATGCTGTGGTTTTGTCAGGCACAGCAGAACACGCTGACGGCAGGGCAGACCCAGGAGGTGGTGCAGGGCACTGCTGCCAATGCTGATTTGCATGCCATCCCGGTTTGGGGACCCTGACACCCTACTGAATGAGGCCCTGGGAGGGCAGGCCCAGAAAATGCATGGGCTGGCCTGGGCAGCAATGTTGTGGTTTTGTCAGGCACAGCAGAACACGCTGACGGCAGGGCAGACCCAGGAGGTGGTGTAGGGCACTGCTGCCAATGCTGATTTGCATGCCATCCCGGTTTGGGGACCCTGACACCCTACTGAATGAGGCCCTGGGAGGGCAGGCCCAGAAAATGCATGGGCTGGCCTGGGCAGCAATGCTGTGGTTTTGTCAGGCACAGCAGAACACGCTGACGGCAGGGCAGACCCAGGAGGTGGTGCAGGGCACTGCTGCCAATGCTGATTTGCATGCCATCCCGGTTTGGGGACCCTGATACCCTACTGAATGAGGCCCTGGGAGGGCAGGCCCAGAAAATGCATGGGCTGGCCTGGGCAGCAATGCTGTGGTTTTGTCAGGCACAGAACATGCTGACGGCAGGGCAGACCCAGGAGGTGGTGCAGGGCACTGCTGCCAATGCTGATTTGCATGCCATCCCGGTTTGGGGACTCTGACACCCTACTGAATGAGGCCCTGGGAGGGCAGGCCCAGAAAATGCATGGGCTGGCCTGGGCAGCAATGCTGTGGTTTTGTCAGGCACAGAACACGCTGACGGCAGGGCAGACCCAGGAGGTGGTGCAGGGCACTGCTGCCAATGCTGATTTGCATGCCATCCCGGTTTGGGGACCCTGACACCCTACTGAATGAGGCCCTGGGAGGGCAGGCCCAGAAAATGCATGGGCTGGCCTGGGCAACAAAATGCAAATGTTGCTTTCTGCATTGCACGTGGGTGGCAGGTGGCAATCAAGGTGCTCAGGGCTTGCACTGCTGCAATTTCCCCGCTTTGGTACACGCTTCATGAGTTCCTCTCTAGCTTTTGTCGCTGCAGGCGAACGTTAATGGCTCCGTTTTCGGTAATTCAATGCCCAAGGTGCAGCTGCGGTTGGCCGCCTACTCCAGTCTGCCCTGAAATCTCTTCGCATGCGTCATGATTCGCATCTGAGCTTGACGAATGGGGGGAGGATTGCGGCCGGGAGGGTGTGTCAGTTGCGCGCCAGGCTGGACGGTTGCCGCGCGCACAGAGGCCCCCCGGGCCGTTCCAGTAGGCCCCCCACGCCATCAACGAAGCGCACAAGTCGCGCGGGCAGGCGGGGACGCTGCAGCGGGGGGGGCGGGGGATGGCGCGGCGCGATGGGCGCCCGGGCGCTCGGGGAACGCCGCCCAAAGGCCCCTGAGTGCGCGCAGGAGGGGAGTCGGCGCGGCGCGGCGCCGGGAACGGGGCGGGGAACGCGGGCCCCGGGGGCGTCCCCCCACCGTGTTTTCCCGTCTCAACGAACCGGAGTTTTCGTCGTACCCCAGTGTTTACGTTCCCCATGCTCGTCCCCCAGGCCGAACAGGGTTGGGAAACCAGTGGGTCTAGGCTTTGGGCATTCAAGAACAGCGTGGCCAGGCTGAACCCTGAGGCCAGCGCTGCTGCCGTGGACCCTCCTATGCGACGGCGCCTTGCGCCCAATTGGGTCCCGCGCCATATGACCTGTCTGCCAGGCAGTGCCCCCTGCCAGACCAGCTGGATCGCTCTCTTGCCCCAATCAAGATCCTGGCGGCACGGGAAACACACGAGACATTGGATTCGCCCTGCACTCATCTGCCACAGTGTCTGCACCAGCTGCCGGGGATGCCGGGAGCTGTCTGGCCCCAGGGGCCTGTAAGTTTTCACCCCTCACTTGCAACCCCCTAACTCACATTCCCCCGGAGGAGGAATCTCCCTGCCGTTCAAGTCTCATGCTCACGTCCTGCCGGCAACAATTGCCGGGTGGGGTCAGCCTTGCCAGGTGGGTGCATGCAAAATGGGGACGGGTTCGGCCGCGTATTGGGTCAGTCCCATGTCCCCTCTGTGTGTGCCCAACTCAAGTGGCGATACCCTTACGTAGCTGGTGCATCTGACTCCCCCAATCAGCTGCCAGCACTGCCTGTTGCATATCACTGGTGCAGCCAGCCACCCCGCCCCTCCCATCCCCAGGCGCTCGCAGTGCGCCCTGGGCCCGCCATCCAACCTCCTCGCGTCTCCACGCAGCACACCAACAGTCAGCCCACATTTACATGGGCATGTAACAGCAAGGCAGTCACAAGCATCCAAGGCAAGCCGCCGCAGCCGCCAACTGAGGCTGCTGTTGGGCTAGCGGTCGCGCGCCCGCCATGGCATGCTTGCTTGGACTGGGCCAGCTGGCTACTTCTCAATCTGCTCACGCAGACGGCGGATGGTGGACCGCACGGTCACGGAGGCCGCAGTGCTGCAGGCGGGCGGGAGGGCAGGCGGGGCGGGCGAGTGAACATGCGTCGCGTCGCACAGGAAGCAGCACGTGTCGGCGGCAGCAGGTGGGGGCACAATCACTCCCAGCCAGCTGCTCAGGTCTGTTAAGGTGGTAAGCTGCAGCGTGGCAGCTGCCGCCGGCGCCGTGGCTGCATGCTGCTGAGCCGAGAGAGCTGCATCCATCCTGAGCCGTGATCGCCACCTCGAACAAGAGACGCACGCTGCCCACTGCGGCTGGCATGGTGGCCACGGCCAAGGCTGTGCCGGTTGGCTGCCCTCCCGCCAGTAAGGCAGCAAGCAGCACAACAGGCAATCAGGCGGCGGCGGCGGCTCACTTGAGCACATAAGCGCCGCCAGCCTGGGTCTTGTTGCAGGCCTTGCACTTCCAGATGCCAACCACCTGGCGCTTCATGGCGAACTGGGGGCAGCAGGCGTGGGGGCAGGGCAGGGCGGACCAGGGCAGGGCGAGCAGTCAGCAGGCAGGCTCGCAGTGTTTCCATGCACGTTGCCAGCACTGACGGCTCTGCCCACAAGCATGCCCGAACACGGCAGCAGCACAGAGGCCGCGTGCGCAATAAAGAGGCTGCTTATGCCGGGCAGCACAACCGCTATCAGCCGAGTGCTGCGCGCTGCGGTTGTGCATGCCCGGCCCGAGGCCTCAGCTGCATGCACAGATGGCCCCAAAGGCAGCAATACGGACCCAAGAGCAGCGGCAGCGCAAGCAGGGCTGTCCACACATGGGCGCACCTTGCCGCAGAAGCTGCAGAAGTACTTGGAGTGTTGGCTAACCTCAATCTTCTTGATCTGCTTCCTCAGCGAAGCACCATAGCGGGTGCCGTACTTGCCGACAATCCCGACCTTTTTTGTGCGCTTCGACTGCAGGGGGTATTCGGCAGCAACAGCGCGGGAGCCGTCGGCGGCGGTCGGGCGGGCGGGAGAGGTGGCGGGCGGTGCAGCGCCCCACACAGGCAGCGGGGCGCTGCCTCCCGCGCTGCACCCAGCCCGCTGCTGGACCAATCCTGCGCCCAGCGCCTGCGACAGGCTGCACGCGAGTCTGCATCGGCGAAGGAGGCTGGGCTGCTGCCGCGCTCCTCCGGCTGGATGTCTCCCGCTGGATGTCTCCACGTGCTGTTCAGGTCGCTGCCAGTCCTCCGAACCCCATGCGCTGCCCCCGCACGCATGGCGCCCCACTGCTGCATGGCGCCGATGCCCTCCCCAGCGCCTCACCATTTTGCCACGTGCTGCCCTCCGCCAGCCAGCACCTGAGAGGGGGAGGCGGGCGCTGCCAGCCCTCTTGAGGCAGGGTCCTCATGTGCATGACCCAGGCTGCCAGCCCGTAGGCCGGCCCTGGCATGCCATCCCACGCCGCCTGTATTCGCGGGTTGCAATCGGTGGAGTCAGGACTTGAACCAGCGGGAGGCCAGGCAGCATGAGCGCGGTGTGCGGGGCACAGAGCAGGTGCGTGGGGCGCAGGCACCACAACACAGGCCCGGGAGGGCTCTGGGCTGGCGCATTTGACAATTCCCACATAAAATTGCACGCAGGTGCCTCCCGGCCGGCGCCAGCAACATGAACGCCAAGGCAGCAGTGGCACAGCGGGCAGCCTTCCTGCCCGCGCAGCGGGCCGTGCAGCAGCGTCGTGGCAGCCTTCAGGTGCGTCGCGGCGCGCCCCACTGGGCAGCCGCCCTCCGCCACTGCTCCGCCCGCCTGGCCGCCCTTGCGCCCGAGCGCTGCTGTGTGACGCGTGCCCCTGCCCTACACCCTGCAACCCCTGCCCCTGCACACGCTGCCATTCCTGCGGCACCCATCGGCACCGCCGCCGCCCTGGCCACCCTGCTTGCCGCGCCTGCAGATACAGGCAGCGATCAGCCGGCAACGCAAGGAGGAGACTGTGGAGCAGCTGGAGGGCCTGCTGCAGGGCAGCGCGGTGGTGGTGGGCCTGCGGTACCAGGGCCTGACCGTGAAGCAGCTGCAGGACTTCCGCCGCTCGCTGCCCGCATCCAGCAAGATGCTGGTGTGCAAGAACACGCTGATGCGGGTGGCCTGCGACAAGGTGGAGGGCTGGTCCGAGCTCAAGCCGGCCACCACGGGCGACAACGCGTGGCTGTTTGTGAACGAGGAGGTGCGGCCTGGGGCGGGGCTGGCAGGGCGGCGAGGGAGGAGGCGGAGGGGGCGCCTGCCGGGCCAGAGCGAGCGAGCGCAGTGGGGCGTGGCGCGGCGGCCTGCGCTGCACCGGCTGCATCCCCATGCCGGCGTGGTGCTGCTGCGGTTGGCAGCCCCTGCAGCCGGGCCCCGCGTGTTTGCACCATTCCGCACCGTACCCACACACATACGTGCGCACACACACCCCGCTCGCACCCCCGGCCCCGCCGCCCAGGTGATTGCGGAGAGCATCAAGGCGTATGTGGCGTTTGAGAAGAAGCTGGTGGAGGGGTTGCCCAAGGAGGAGCGCGCCACCGCACGCCCCATCGACATTAGGTTCGCGCGCGGGGCCTGGACCGCCCACCCGCTGGCGCTGACGGTGCCTGGAGGCTCTGGCGCAGGCGCCGCCGCCCGGCGTGCGCTGCTCCGCGCTGCCCTTGGCCTGGCTAGGGACCCCATGCCCCGTCTCCTCACCTGCCCCCTCCCTTCTCCGGCCCCCTGCCCGCCCCCCCTGCAGCGGCGGGTGCATGGACGGCACCCTGATGGACTATGTGGCTGTGAAGAAGCTGGAGTCGATGCCCACCAAGCTGGAGCTGATTGCCACCATTGCGCGCCTGATCAACCAGGTGCCCACCAAGGTGGCCCGCGGCATCAACCAGGTCCCCACCAAGCTGGCCTATGGCGTCAAGGCGCTGGCCGACGGCGACGACAACAAGGAGCTGGTGGTGGGGGACCTCTTCCCCAAGCCGGAGTCGGCATGAGGCCACGCCCGGTACAGCGCGCCACGCGGGCGGCGGCGACTGCGATTGCACGCCGCCCCCATGCTGCGCAAGGGCCCCCCACTCACTCTTCTAGCTACCACCACTCTCCTCAGTTTTCTCCGCTGCTCAGCTGCGTGCCACCCGAGAGCCCTTTGCATGGCGGCATCAGCGCATGTAACCAACTCGAATCATCGGACCCAGGGGGCTCGGCTGGGCACGACGCGGCGTCAACATATCGAAGCAAAGGAGGTGACTGAAAGTCGGCAGCATGCAGCCAGTGCCAGGCTCCTCACTCATCGATGCACTGCAGCCCCTCCAGGTCGCCGTAGTGCAGCAGCGACTGCTCCGAGGGCCGCGTCGCCACAGGCGCCGCTGGCCCTGCGCGAGCCTCTCCGGGATGCAGCAGGCTGCCGCGCCTGCTGTGGCCGCGGGAGCCGGGGTGGCTGCTGCCCTCCCTGCCATCCCCTGCTGCCGCCGCTGCCGCACCACAGTCGGTTTGCTCTGTGAAGCTGGCGCAGCGGGAGAGGCGAGACGGCGCCCTCTTCAGCTGGCTGAAGCTTCCGCCGGCCGTGAAGCTGCCGCACGCTGCCTCTGCTGCCGCGCCTGCCGCCTCGCCTGCCCACTCCCCTGGCGAGGCAGCAAACACGGGGTTGGCATGAACCTCTCCATTCTGGTGGGCCAGAGAGGGCCGCCGAGAGTGGGAAGAGCCCTCAATCGTGCGCCTGGAGTGGACAGATGCCTGGGTGCTGGGGCGGCGCGAGCCCGCGGCGCTGCCGGGGGTGATGCCCATCTGGCTCCAAGTGAAGGCGCGCGGCCCCGCTGCCTGCTGCCCGCTCAGCTCCTGCTCCCTGGGCCAGCCAGCATCCTGCGACTCAAAATCCGCCTCCGCGGCATCTGCACGGTGCGCTGCCCAGCCTCTGCACGCCGCCGAGGCGGCGGCAGCAAAGGCGCCGCCGCTGCCCGCGTGTTCGGCCTCGTGGCTGCCGCCGTAGCTGCTCCAGGCCCCCACCATCTCCTGCACGCTGGGCCAGCGGCTGTGGGGCGAGCCACGCAGGTGGTCGGCTGGCTGCCCCGCCAGGCTGCCGGCCGATAGCTGGACGGGGCTGAGCGGCCTGCTCCCAATCGGCTGCGCCTGCGCCAGGGGGCTGGTGCGGCTCCAGGGGGAGGCTGCTGCTACGGTGCCGAGTGGACTGGCGGCGGAAGGGCCCCGTGGCGTTCCTGCGCCCTCGGCTGCCGCCTGATGCGGAGGAGAAGCGAGGGGGGGCCATGGGCCGGCAGCCAAGCTCCAGCTGCGCCATGTGGATTGAAAGGAGGGTGATCAGGGCGCTATGCACGCATTCTGGTGCTGTGCCTGTTTACCTCGTTGGTGTCCAGTGGCATGACCGAGGTGCATCCTGCTCACCCAACCAGCCACCCCCTTGCCTGGAGTCGAGACCGCCAGCCTGGTAGAGCAGCGCCGCACAGGCAAGCACCGCTTGGCGCTCCTGTATGGCTGCGTCCTGCCCGTCGCAGCACCCCCAGACAAATCGTCGGCGCATCTTCCACGCCACAAAAAGTACAAACAGCACCGTGCCAACCACTGCAAAAGGGGGAGAGACGCGAGTTGGCAGCGACCGGCAGTGGGTGGTTGGCGGCGTCAGCGGCGTCAACAGTTTTGGCGTTGTTGGCCAGCGGAAATCGAGAGACGCGCACCGATGCATGCGAGGGCTATGGTTCGCGTTGACAAGGGCGCCGTGGTTGCGCCCGCATTCCCCATGTCCCACATATGGTGACCCGAAACGGCCCTCCCACGGCCGTTGTCAATCCTGGGAACTGAATTGATGAGCGACATGCGAATTTGGGAAACGCTCTCCTCTAAAAGGACCGTCTTGGCCCAGCCTCAGCAGGCCCAGCACGGGCGCCGGCGCTTCCTACTACAAAATCGTGGTGACACTGGCTCAATGCTATTTGAATTTCTTACACCACGCACTTGCCATTCTTGTTCACGTAGCCGTAGCGGCAACCAAAGGTGCGGCACGTGCCGTCATTGCGGCACTCCTCGCAGCCCTTGACGGCGCACTTCTGGCATCGCCCAGCCTTGTCCATATACACAGGCACACTACCCGGGCTGTTGTCAGCAGCAGTGTAGAACTTGCACAACTTGCACGTCTTGCCGGTGGCATTGCACTCGCTGCACAGTGGGTCGGCGCAGCTGCACCGGAACAGGCCAGGAGGGCGCGCGCTTAGCCCGTGCAATTGGCTGATTGATAAAACAGAGCATGAAAGCTGCGAGGAGCCTTGGCGTGACGGCAGCATTTCCCGGCGCTGCCCCCTGTGGGGGCAGCACTCACCGCTTGCACGCCTTCCCGACTTTGACATAGCCGTCGTCGCAGAAGGGGCACCCATCCTTGGTGCAGTCGTAGCTGCACCCCTCGGCGCACTGCAGGCGCAAGGGGTTGCCTAACACCAGGTTGGAGGGCGGGCACTGTTGTGGAGGCTGGCCTGTCGCATTTTGCAGGCGCAGCAGCAGCGCACCTCCCGGCAGGTGTTGGCCCTGGTATCCAGCCACAGGGCCTTGCCCGGCACATAGCGGCAGCCTGTGCAGATGCTGGCATCCTTTTTGCACTCACACAGCGGGTTGGCACACTGCAGCAGCAGCACACGGGCGCATGGGTTGGCAGGGCGCCTGAGTGGAGGGGCACAGCACCAGATGTGCAGCCGTTGCCATGGATGGCGCAGACGGCAGAGCACGACCAGAGCTGGGCAGCCCATAGCGGGCCCCACCTTGCGGCACTTTTTATCGTGGCCCGTCATGCCAGAGCAGTCTTCGCAGCGCAGCCCGTCTGCGCTGCACTTCTGGCACCCAAGCATCCCATCTGTGCAGCGCACGCATTTGCTGTAGTCCTTGCTGCAGGAGTGGGAAGGAGCAGAGGCCGCCAGGGGGACTTATGAGAAGGCGCACAACGCGCCAGTGTCCCACCCTGTGCAGCTGAAGAAGGTGGCCAGGCACAAGGAGGTGGCAGTGCTGATGCAGGGCGCCACAGGTAGGTAGCCACTCAAACTTGTGTGCTGCAACCACACTTGCCAGGTGCGTGGCAGCGCAGCACGCCACTCACCACTGCACACACTTGTCGCCCTTGAGCGTCTTGCGGTATCCATTGGCGCAGGTGTGGCAACTGCCGTCTGGGCGACATTCCTTGCAGTCGTCCGGGCACTGCGAACAACATGGTGTGGGTGGGTGAGCAGGGCCGGCCGTGCAGAGGCGGGAAGGCAGCCGTGCCAAGAGCACCAGCAGAGCCGGCCTGCTGCCACAGCCCATCCACTGGCCCAGTCCCCACCCACCCATCGCCCTTGTTCACCTGCTTGCAAATGCCCTTGCTGAGGTAGACAGTCGGGGAGTTGGGAGAGTCATCCACGGTGGGCTGACAGCGGAGGCAGCGGCCCCACTTGGAGCAGGCAGCGCACAGGCGGCCAAACGCTGTGCACGGCACGCATCTCTTGCCCCGCAGCGTGTACCCATCACGGCATTTCCGGCATTTGCCCTTCCGCGTGCAGCTGGAACAACCGTCAGTCAGGGCGTCGCATGGAGCGCACGCGCCATTGCGAAGGAAAGAGCTGCCCACGGTGCACCTCGTGCATTGGCCCGTTTCGTCGCAGGCTTCGCAGCCGTTGTCCCTGAGGTGCTTCTCACACTGCAGGCAAGTGATGCATGGGTGGACAAACTGGGATGGCTGGCAGTTGGGATGGCCGTTGGGATGGCCGTTGGGATGGCTGGCGGTTACCCCAAGTGCCTGCTGCCAGCCTGCCCGCAGGCCACCGCACCTCACGGCACTTCCCGGTTTTGGTCATGTAGATTGGACCGTACTCGTACGGATTCTCTGCCCAGATGGGAACATCCATGCACTGCAAAGGAGCAGCGCGGCATGTTGCTGTATAAAACATGAGACGCAAGCCGATTGTAGCCCGGCGCCGCCAGCAGCCATTGCCGCTCTCACCTTGAGGCACTTGATGAGGTTGGGGGCGCACTCAGCGCAGCGGTCGTCGGCGCAGGGATTGCATGTGCCTTTGGATGACAGCCTAAATCCCTCCTCGCAGCGCGTGCAGGCTCCGCCTTCCTTGCAGGCGCGGCAGCCCTTGTACCACGGCTGCTTGGTGCACTTGGCGCAGGAGCCGGTGGCGGTCAGATAGACGGGATAGCTGGGCTGCTCGAAATCGTCCTCTTCATAGAAGCCGGTTTCGCATTTAACGCAGGTTTTGCCTTTCGGTCCGGTGCAGCGCACGCACAGCGGGTCGGGGCAGCGCTTGCAGCTGCCTGCGGCGTCCATGTAGTGTCCGGAGGCGCACCTGGCGCAGGTCCCTGTTGAGTTGCATGCCTTGCAGCTTCCGTGGATGGAGAAGGCGCAGTGGCGGCAGCGGCCCCGGGAGTCCTTGTACACGAGCGGGTTTTTGTCCAGGTTGAAATCGGCAGCCGTGCACTTCTTGCAGGTGGCGGCGCTTGGACCGCAGCGCTCGCACAGCGGGTCGGCGCACTTGGTGCAAAAGCCGTCGCCATCCTTGAAGTAGTTGGAGATGCACTGGGTGCAGAGCACCTTGCGTGCATCACACTCGCTGCAAAGCTGGTCATAGCTGCAGGGGCAGGGGGGGAGTAACCGGGGTGAGGGATGGGCAGCGGGTGGACAGCTGCCGCAGCAGGGCAACAGGCGGGGCCATTGCACAGGCTCTGGATCCCGCTGCCATGCGCGCCGCATTCTCATCGATCCTCACCACATGGTGGCGCCTGCAGAGGGCAGGGCAGAGCACCGTGGAGTGGCAACCGAACGTTGTGTTCCCAGTGCTCGTGGCACGCAGAACCATGATAGATCTCACCAAGCACGCCTGGGCCATGTACAAACAGAAGCAGCGCGGCCAGGGCCAACTGGAGCCGACAGTTCGTCATGGCAGCTGCCACCTCTTCAAACACGTTGATGGTTCGTTTCAATCAGAACCGCAGTTGCAAGCGCCCGCCAGAGCGCCCGACAGAGGCAACGCAGTGTGCGTGCGGGGCTGCATATCACGCAGTACACTCAGTACCCACACTGCAGCCGCAGCGCGCAAGAGGTCAACCATGAATCCAGGGGGGTGACGGAGCTTCATCTGGGAGTGTCAACGTTTTAATTTTGTCTAAAGAGTTCAAAGGCATCGGGGACGCAGAAGCTGGCGAGAGGCGGGGCGGTTTTCCCCCACACACAAGCGTCACGTATGGCGCAGCGGCGGTGTCGTCAACTCTCTCCTCTGGTACCTTTAAGAATACATGCACAGTGAGGATCAATTGTTCTCCCCTCCGGTCATCTCTTTGAAGGCGAGCCTTGAGCCCTAGCACCGCACCATCAGCTGGCAGCGTCAGGCGGCACCGCCCCAGCGGGCGCAGCAGGTACACTGCCCACACACACTCGTTATAACGCTCCATCGTGCTTCGCGGTTCATCACTCGGTGATCACGAGTCTTGACACCGCGACCCGCTATTCCTAGAGGGCGGCCGACCTCCGGCCTCCCAGCTCCCTGCAGCGGTCGCTGCAGTGAGGTGCTCCACAGCTGAACGGGCGCCATGGAGAATTATGCCAAAAGCATCGTGCTGGGCACGGGCACCTTTGGCAAAGTGTTGATGGCCACGCACAAGGAGGTGAGGGACAGCGCTCTGTGCGTGCAGGATAACCCCCTCGAGACTGCCAGGGCATCGGATGGATGCTTGCTTGCCGCGAAGGGCCGCCTACACCCGCGGCGCACCTGCCGCCCGCCGCCACGAACGCGTTGGCAACTGTCGTGGATTGCTTGCCGCCTGCTCGCTGCAGACGGGCGAGGTGGTGGCGATCAAGAAGATCCAGGTCGGGGAGAAGGGCGAGGTGAGGAGCGCAGCTCAGCCCAGGGGCTGACCGTGGCACACAGCGGTCCCGCCCACTCGCCGCGTCCTGCGCCACCTGCTTGGGCGCGCCCAGCCTGCCCTGCCTCCATCCTCCCCCGTGCCCTGCCGCCAACGCCGCACCACACGCAGGGAGTCAACGTGACGGCGCTGCGCGAGGTCAAGCTGCTGCGCGAGCTGCGCAGCCCTCACCTGGTGCGCCTGCTGGAGGTGCTGCCGCTCAAGCGGGGGCTGGCGCTGGTGATGGAGTACTGCGAGTCGGACCTGGAGCACGTCATCAAGGACCGCTCCCGCCTGCTGTCGGCGGGGGACGTCAAGGCGTACATGCAGGCAGGGCGCGGCGGCGGCGGCGGCAGTATACCTGCACCGTGTGGGGGGTCCTTGCTTGTGTGTGGGGCTTGCTTGTGTGGGGGTGGCGGGCGGCGGGAGGTCACCCCTGCCCCGCCCGCCCTGCTGCAGATGATTCTGCGCGGCCTGGACTTCTGCCACAGCCGCTGGGTGGTGCACCGCGACATCAAGCCAAACAACTTCCTCGTCACGGCCAGCGGGGAGCTGAAACTGGTGCGCCGGCCCGCCCGCGCCTTGGCTGCATGCCTGGCATGCGACTGCAGGTACAGGCGTGCAGGCGTGGCAGCGGTGGGCGGCAGTGCAGGCATGCCTGGCCAGAGGCTGCAGCAGCCTTGCATTCCCAGCTGGCGCTACTGCTAAGCAGCCACCAGCCCCACCCCGCACCTGCAGGCCGATTTCGGCCTGGCCCGCATCTACGGCAGCCCCGACCGCAGGTACACAAACCAGGTGGGCGCCCCAGCCGGCGGCAGCAGGGTGGTGGCAGGGCCTCATCCTCTGTGCAGGTGCATCCCCCGCTCGCCCCCTGCCCCACGCCCCTCGGCCTCGTCTGGCCGCTCCGCCGCGCAGTCAGCCTCACCCCACTGATGTCACAGCTCTGCTGCTCGTGCCTGTGCACGTGCCCGCATGCGCTTTTGAGCCCTCGAGCCTGAACCCGCCGCTGTGTGTGCAGGTGTTTGCCCGCTGGTACCGCCCCCCCGAGCTGCTGTACGGCTCCACCTGCTACGGCCCCTCGGTCGACATCTGGGCCGCAGGCTGCATCTTTGCGGAGCTGCTGCTGCGCCGCCCCTGGTTTGTGGGCGAGTCGGGTGCGCTGGCGCCGCGGGCTGGGCGGCGCTGGGATGGGGCCGCGCCTCCACTCCCTCGCCACTCTTTCCTTACCAACACCCACCGCCACCGCCTCCCTTCCCTCGCCACTCTTTCGTGTCCTGCACCCACCGCCACCGCCACCACCTCCCATCCGCACGCCACCCACGCACCAGGCCGCCCGCCTGCCTGCCTGCCCCCACCCCTGCAGACGTGGAGGTGCTGACCAAGGTGTTCATGGCGCTGGGCACGCCCACCGACGACTCCTGGGCGGGCCTGCGCCACATGCCCGCCTTCATGGAGTTCCAGCAGACGCCCGCCCCGCCCCTGCGCAAGATCTTCCCGCCCAGCATCGTGGGGGTGAGGCGCGGGGGCCTGCGCCCGGGGTGTGCGTGCGCTGAGGGGCAGGCTGGGGGCCCACGCCTGGGGGGCTGGG